ACTTTACTTTATTTTTAGTAGTTAGATATTACTTTAACTTTTTAAAAATCTACATTTATAGAATTTTTTATTAAATTTTCAAAGATCTATACATCATTAATTTTTATTTTTATGTTTTTATAATGGTTTTAGTTTTTTGCATCTTATTGATTTTCTTATTATAAAATGTATACTTGTAACTTACAGTAAATCTTTTCTTTAAATACATATTTATTAGAAAATAAAATAAATAAAAAAATTTTAAAAATATAAAAATAGTTTTTTTTTATATGAGACATTTCATATTTAAATAATAACTAAATTAAAACATTTTATATTTAATAAAAATATGAAAATATCTTGATTTAATTATTTTATTTTTATTATTATTAAAGTTGTCTTCATATTTTTTTTTTTTTTTTTTTAACATGAAATAGCATACTTTATTTAATAAATTACAAATATATTATTACCAAGCTAATTATTACTATCTATTTACAGTTAGATTTAAAAATCTAGTTATTTTGGCTTTTGCCTTACTTTTAGAAGTTTTATCTAAAACTTTTAAGCTTTTAATGATCTTGGCTTTTGTAATATTTTTTATAGCTTCTTTTGGGATAAAATTGTTCCTCTATCCAGCTTGAGTATACTATAACCATATTTCATATATTATCATAAAATGAAGCCAGAGTGTTGCTTTTCTTTTCTCTATATTTTTTATATTCAAGATCTTTAAAATTTTTTCTATTGACTAGAGATATTTTCTTCTATTTTTGTTTGAAGAAAGGTATATCTTCTTTTTAAAAGATTTGACTAATTTGACAGTTTATAGCAAAATAGCTTGGAGTTTGTTTCTGGTTTATACAGTTTAAACAGTTTTTATCAATTTCTTTGTTAATATGTATAAGACAATATCCTAGTGGCAGTGCATTGCTCTAAAGTCTCCAAAAAATGTCTTTCTTTTTGTTAAGTAGTCCTTTATACTGAAACTAGCTAGAAACTCTTTTAAAATTTTTTAGTAAACATAATGAGATTTGTGTTATAGTAGGTTTTATAGAACTTTGTTTTAAAAATTCAGTAGCTTTTTGTACTGAAAATTGGTTTCTAGTGATATTACAGACTTTTAATTATGAAGCATTCTATAGCCAATCACTGGTTGCAAAAATAGTACTTTTGAGTCTCTTCCAGGCAATTAGATATGGCTTTCAGTGGTCTAGCCACCCTTTAAGCCTTATCAGTATTTTAGTAAAGGCTATTATTGCAGTTAGATTTCTTTTAAACTAAAAACTTTGTAAAATGTTTTCTGCTAGAAAGTAGTAGGTATGCTATATACCAAATTTTTGTGATAAGAAGAGATTTGGATAACAAAATCTTTTCTTTAAAAAATAAATTCCTTATTAAGATCTTTTCTATTTTATTCTTAATGTCTTGAGTTATTTTTTTCTAATCTTGTTTTAGTGAATCATCTTTGGTATTTACTTTAAATTCTAAAATTTTTAGCTAACTGCCTTTATTTACAATCTTAAAAAGATTTTAGTTTAGAAGACTAGTTACCTTTGTCATAGTTGTTATTGGTATTAAAACTGATTTCTTGAAGTTAATTCTAGTGTTAGCTACTGCTTCAAATTTCTGAAGTATTAACAAGAGCCTTTTTTTTTTTTTTTTTTTTTGATGTTAATGGTAAGACCTTGCTCTTATCTTTATTAAACTTAATTAAAATTTTTTACAAAATCAGAAAAAATCTGTTGCTTAAATCTAATGCTAAGTATAAGAACTCAGACATATATCCAGGTAAACCCGAATACTTATCTGTGGCCTAAACCAAACAAGAGCCTTTTTTAATCTAGTTGTGAACCAATTTCTATTGTTAAGTCATTTGCATATGCAGCTGCTTTAAAATAGTATCTTGTTATTTGTATTTCAATTAGTTTTTCTTGAATCTTTAAAATTAAAGGATTTAGAGCTATAATGTAAAGGAGAGAGAAAAGTAGATCACCTTGTTGAACATCACTTTTTACTATTATTGCCTCTGATCTAAAGTTTGCATCTAAGATATGTGCTATTTGTGAGCCAAAAAAAAAATCTAATGATTCTTATGAATCTGTTATCAAACCCTATATTTTTTAGTACTTGAAAAATATAGCTGTAACTGATTCTGTCAAAGGCCTTTTGCTAGTCTAGTAGAAGAATTCAATGAAAGAGAGTTTGATCATTTTAATTTCTTAGTGTGATAATAATGTTTAGTGCTATATCAATAATAGATCTTTTTTTTTATAAAGGCTTGTTAGGCTAAACCAATTATTTTTTCACAAATTAAATTGATTCTGTTAGCCAAAACTTTTATAAATATTATGTTGTTACAGTTTGTTAGCAAAATTGATCTCCAGTTGTTTAGATTAAAAAGATTGTCTGACCTTTTATAGATTAAAATAATGATATTTTTGGTCTATAATCTAGAAACTGTACTAGTTTTTAGATAGTAGTTAAATAAATTAATGATTATTAGAAGAATTTTATTTTTGATCTCTTTGTAGAATTCATAATTTAAACTATCAGATCCTGATGTTTTGTTGTTTGAAAGTTAGCTAATTATGGTACTCACTTCCTTTACTGAGATATCTTTAATCAAAGCTTGGTTGTGTAGTATTGATACTAATAATAAGCTCTGTATAAAGAAGTTTATTGCTTCTTTGTTTACCTCTTTAGCCTTATAAATTTCTTGGTAAGCTTCTTTAATATAGTGTAAAATATCTGTAAAATTCTAAGGCTGGCTGCTATTAGGAATTTGAATCTTGTTTTTGGCTGATGTATAGTATTTAGATTTGTAAAATATATAGAAAAATCTAGTAGATTTTTTTTTCTTTTTTATTAATTTTGTATTTAATTTAGTTTGCTATTTATCTAAGAGAGCTTGAACTTCCCCTTGTAGCTAAGTATTAATATCTTCACTCAGTGCTAATAGCTTATCAGACTTTTTTTTAGCAATTTTATTATTAATTTTGGTAAGTTTTTTTTGAAGCCTTTAGATTTTTCTTTTCTAATAAAGGCTAAGATCTAAAAGCTTTTGCAATTAATTAAATTTTACACTTGTATAAGTTCTATTTAGAAAAGTTTGCGATATTTTGAATTTCCTTTATTATTTCTTTTCTAAGCAATAGATTGTTCTAACTGTTTTTGTTGAATCTCCATTGTTTAGGTTTAGTGAAATTAGAGGCTAACTAAAGCTTATATTCTACAAGCAAGTGGTTTGAGTTTTCAAACTGAGTTGCAATATGTTTGCAACAATATTTATAATTAGTATCAATAAAGATGTAGTTAAGTCTTGTAGCCATTCTTTTACCACCTTTGGTATTTTGATAATAAGTTATAAAAAGTTCTTTTTTCTGTTCTAAACTTGCTATATCTATAAACTCTGTAGTAAGCCTTTTAAGAATTTCTCTTATAGAGTTACTAGTTAGAAAGAAGTCACTAATTCTGTTTATTTGGGTTAAGATTTGTATTTAAATCTCTTGCTATAATGTTTATACAACTTTCATCTACTTGAGGAGCCTAGTTATTAAAGAAGGTAGTTCTATCTTCAATGTTTAAAGGAGTATAAATATTAGTCAACTTGAAAAGTTGATACTTGTAGATTAGCTTTATAATAATAACTCGTCTATTATAAAAATCTTGAATTTTGGTAAATAAAATATTTTGGTTGCCTGCCAGTATTGCAGTTTTTGATATCTAGTAAAAGCAATAGTCTCACTGTTGTTTCAAAAAATTTCTGATATTGGAATTCTTTAAATTTGTTTCTTGAAGCATTATTATATCTAGATGATATAATTTTAGTAGTATTAATATTCTGTGTATCTTATTAATATTGTTTAAGCCTTTAACATTTAGTGATACAATTCTAATTTTTTTAACCATAATAATTATTATAAAAAGAAAGAATAATCTAATAGGGGCTCTTTCTAATCTCATAGCTGTTCTTGGGCCTGTTGCTATTTTTTTGTAGATTTGTAACCTTTTGCTAGTTTTTGAGTTTTTATTTAAAGGAGACTAAAGTAAAACCATCTTCATCCTTGCCTTAAAAGTTAGTTGTTTAATTTGAAGTATTGCTATACATAGTAGCCAAAAGGTTTGATAAAGTCTTCATTTTGGAAATAAGACTATTGCTTTCAGTAGTAGTTGCTTCCAAAATTTGTTTTTCAATAGGCAGAATCTGCAATTGCAGTTCTACTTTTTCAGACTATGAGGATTTTATTTTAGATTCTTTATCTATTTCTAAGTTAGTTGAGGTAATATTTTTCTCTTGCTCATCTATGGTTGAGATAATATCTTTTTCTTGCTTATCTATATTTATATTGGGTTCT